AACTCTGAACTTATTTTTGTTATTTTTCTTTTGTGTGTGTGTGACCATAAACTACTACTACTATCGTATTGTGTTTGTAATAACCTCGCCCCCAGCGAGTCGTATTGTATTTGTGTGTGTTTTTGTCTCTCCTTGAAGCTCCAAATATCCTATCCCAAAATCGAATCTGACTTTCACTCACCAAGCCCAAGCGATAACATCATTCTACCCCTTTCTTACACCATTGAGGGCAATGTCGAGCTTAAGTGTGGGGGTAGTTTACTATTATCCTTGTGTGAGTGTGATTGATGCTTGGAGCCTTATGTATGCCCAAATTTCAAAAATTTGAGGGCTCCAAGCAATGTTTGCATGATCAAAGTGGCCGGTCTGTGGGAAAATCTCGTGTTTGTTACATGTGATCGAGTATATCCTATGATGATGACTGAGAGGTCCATTAGGATAGTGCAAAAGTTTAGTTCTCATGTGTTCATAAATGAATGGATGTCTTGACTCGATTACTTGTTGATTACAATTGCAATGCATTGTGTTTGTGAATTGGAATAGATGGTTGGGTGACTAGGTAGCCATGTGAGCTTTGAGCCGATCGTTTTCTTCTTGTGTGCTTAGATCCCTCTTACCATGGCGAGTAACTTCACAGTTCTCACTAGTGAGTATGATGGAGGGATAGGATTAGGTCACACCCAAATGTGGTTGTCCCGAAATGTGTTATCCACTAGTCAACCCTTTTGAGCCTTGTAACTTCAAGGGTCATTCTTAAGTTAGGAGCGTTGTGCTTGTGAGCTTAATCGTGTTAATAGAACAACCCCCAATCCTTTCTTCGTGTCTAAACATGAGTTATCCTTGTGTCCCAGAGCTCTCACTTTTGAGTTCCATAGAGGTTCTACATAGGAGATTTGTGTGCGGTTCTTGCTAGGAATGAAAAATGAAGTGTAGTGTTGGAGTGAGTTCTTGAAAAGAGAGCATTGGTCGTTTAATGTATAGGTGGCAAGGTTTTACTCTCTAGTACCCACCTCAAAAAGAAAATAAAGTAAAGAAAAGAGAAACGGAAAAGAGGTAATAAAAGGAGGTAAATAAAGTAGAGAGTGCCACGAGAAACCAAAGTGTATGCTCTAGGGGGGTTTCTTGGCACTCAATCCATTGAAACCCCTCACATTATTTTAGAACTCCTTGACTACCAAACCTTAATGTGATAGCAAGAGTTGACCAAGGTAGAGCACTTAAATGTAGTTCACGATGGGTGGTAGTTTGGAAGGGAGATATAAGGTTTTTGGCTGATGCTAGTGGCCTTTGGTTCAAGAGAAGGGTTTTAGTCGGAACCATAAAACCTCCGGGTTTAGGTTGAAGATGTAGAACCTCACGTCATGATTGCTACATCCCAAAAGGCCTTTTCCCCATGTCCAAGACAACCGCTAGTCATTTGAACCCGTGTCTAAGACCTCCGGACAAGCTAGTGGTGACAACCATCCCGTGAACTCTAGCATTTAGAGGTTACCACCGTGGTATTGAGACAATAGGACCGAGTGTTGATGATTGTGCACATCTTTAGCAACAAAAAGGTCCCGACCCCACTAGTCTTGAGAGTGAGTGATCATTCTTGTTTTTCATGCCATATCATACCCCAGTGAGGACCTTTGTTGCCTTTCCATTTGTTCCTCGGACTTGAATTCTATGAATGGTTAGTTGTGGTTGATAAGTGGTCTTGTCGAGACTTTCATTGATCCATGAACGAGGTGAGAACTTTTCGTTTGCCCACTTTTGATGGCCTCGAATATCGTTTGTGGTGGATGTCGGTATTGCTTGCAATGGTCCATGTATTAATTGCTGATAGCCATTGAGAATTCGCACTTTGTGCCCTTTCTGTTGTCCCTAAAGTATTTGTGTAGGTTGAAATATTACCTTGTGTTAAATGGTTTGTTTGGGGACAAGCAAACGTCTAAGTGTGGGGGAGTGATTCGGGCCTAATTGTACATATATTACCCCCATTTTCCTTAGGCTCTTGTGGCAATTTGTGCTCCTAAAAGGGTGGTTTTACGCGAGTTTTCTTGTGTTTTAGCATGTTTCAAGATCTAACAGGTGAAACCAGCCCCGGAGTGGAAAGTTGGACGAAAAGGAGTGAAAACCGGGAGAAGAGGTGAAAAGAAGGCAGTTCACGGCTTTCCTTGGATGTTCACGGTCTGCTTAGACCGTGAAGAGGAGCTGTTGCCGTGAACATCAAGCGTCCAGGGCCAAATCTCAAGTTACAAACGCTAATTGAGTTCACGGTCATTAAGACCGTGAACTGGAGTTGTTGCCCGTGAACCCTTGCAAACGAAGCGGTGCGTTTCGACGCCCGTCTTGAGTTCACAGACGTGTTTCAGAGTTCACGGTCGTGAACTGACCACGAATGTCAATTGCATGCTAACAAAAAGCATCTCCCAAGAGAGGAACTACGCAGCATAACAGGGTCATGGCCATGTGCGCAATGGGGACTAGACCTCTTGGGACCTTTCCCATAGGCTCCTCTGGAAAAGAAGTATTAGGTGGTCACTGTTGACTATTTCGCGAGGTAGATAGAGGCTGAACTGCTTGACACAAGCACCAGTGCCAATATTCAGAAGTTCTTGTTCAACGACATAAGGATCAGGTTTGGAACGCCTAAAACATCATCACTGACCACGGTACACAGTTTGACTGCAGGCCCTTTGAAAATTTCTACGCGAGAAACCACAATACCTGCAAAATGGTCTCAGTCGCTTTCCCCCAAGCAAAAGGGAAAGTCTAGTCATCAAATAAGCTGATCTTACTAGTAGGGGTGGGCAATAGGTGGGTTGGGTGGGTTTTGGTCTCAAATTAACCCACCCGCATACTAGCGAGTTGGAATAATTGTGACCCGCAATCCACCCACATACTTCTGTGGATTGGGTCGGGTGGGTGGCGGTTGGGTCATGGGTCAACCCGCAAAAGCAATTTTCCAACTAGCCATTAAGAAAGTTGACTAACATTTACAATAAGTTCATAGCAAATTAGTAAGATTGTATCAATAATTTGTAATTTTGATACAATTAATAATTTATACTTTGCATCCCATTATTTAATCGATATTAACAATAATTCGCATACCAATATCCAATATCTAATGGATATTGCACAACACAATAACCAATAATAGTACTCAAAACTATTCTTTATTCTCCACCTTTTGAAGTATATGGTTAGACTGTAGTGCAATTCGAAAATATGATGAATATTCGATACTATAAAACGCAACATTTTTCATGTACAAATCGGATGCGGGTCATACGGGTGACTCACAATCCACCCACCACCCACCCACATGAGTGCGGGTGGGAGATTTATCAATCCGCAAACTACTCACATCAATCACCCACTGCGTGTGGGTCGGATTATTTGCGGGTGGATCGATATCAATCCGCGGATTACCCACCCACGTGCTCACCCATACTTACGAGGGTTGAAGGGGAGGCTAAGGGAATTTAAAAGAGGGTGGACCGCTTAGCTACCACACGTACTCTGGGCACACCGCACGAACTATAAGAAAGAAACTGGAGAAACGCCGTTTGCTCTGATGTACGCCTCCGAAGTGGTTGCACCAGTGGAAATGGCCCTTCCCTCCCTGAGAGCCCAAAAATACAACCCAGAAGAAAATCACAGGAAAATTCTGTAACACCCCTAACCCGGCCGGGTACTACTTTTACTAAAATGCCCTTGATAAATAAAATACTCAAATCTTAAATTTCAACTGGGAAAAATTTTCTTAAATAAAATACTGAACACACACACTTGTAGCTCAGAGCAAAGCCCTAACACGTGGGCAAAATAAACTCAAACTTTAAAATCTCAATCTGATCTCAAAATAATCTCCAGTCTGTACTCATAATCATAAACGTAAATAACAAATACTCTGAAGTTGTTGCTACTGAAGCCCTTGACTAAGCATCCTCCGTGACGCTTATACTGCTCTCCTCTAGCTGGCTGCCCTCGAACTCGCTGCTCACTAACTGCTCCTCTAGCTCCTCAAACTGGTGAGTGAGATGGGGTCAGTCTACGCCCTTACGTTTGAAAATCTAGTACTTGAGCATTTTACTTACACACTTAACTTTAACTGGTGGAAGTTGTTTGTACTTCCAATCTTAAAATATTAACTCTTAAACTTTGAGGGAGTTGAATGTTACTCTCCTCTCTTAAAACTCAAATCTTGACTTCAATACTTGACTGACACGGGGATCCCTCACTAGCTAGTCCGGTTGCCAACTCATACGTATGAGAAGCCAATCAGGCTTTCCTTAAACTTAAACTTAGTTAGGGAAGTCGTAACGATTCATCCCCCTAACATCTTAAAATTATCGTGGTGGCTCTTCACCACAATTCTCAAGAGCATAACTGCTGCTCTATCTCAAAATCTCAAACGGCAACGGACTGGCGCTAGTGACTAAAAACACTTAACTCTTTCACCTTCTCAGAAGGTGAAGTACTTTATTTAAAGAGGACTTGTTTCTCAACTTTAACAATAACTTATACTCGTAGAATTTCAAGTAAATAATAACCACTCACTTCAAGTCATAACTCAAACAAGGCACGTAACCTCAACCATAATCATGCAATCACAAACATGAATCAAATACTGCACATACATCACGTAAATCAATATTCGAAATTACTCAAGGCAGATACTTGAAAACCGTAAGGCGTAGAATTTACCCCCTTTACACTCACCTCATTTCTGTTGAAACCGACTCTGATTTCACTCTAAAAATTCCATGTATCGCTCCCATTAAATTCTACTCGTCTCCACGATTCCATAGGCGCAGACGGTTCCTCGATCGGACGTCAATTGATCGAGTTATGGCCAAAATAAATATTCTGTCAGTTTAGAAGTATCAAGTACCGAAACTGAAATTTTCCAGTCAACACAGTTGACCCGACCTCTGGAAAATTACAGATTAATCCCCTAACTTTTTCGAATTTCCAAAAATGGTACCTGATGGTTGACATATTCTTCCTCAAACTTGGGAGACTCGGTTCTCCCTCATCCGACGTCCGACGTCCGAATTCGATTTCGTCGACACCGTGACGCTCCTGAGATCGCCCTCTACGCAACCATATCCACCTTTTGAAGTTTCGTTGCAGTTTATTTTTTTCCAGAATCCGGCGACACTCCGGCGACGTTCCGGCGAAGCTCCGACGAGGCATCTACAGACCTCCAAACGCAAATCCGTCTCCATGGAACGATTTCTCATATTCTCCCGATCAAAACCCAGTGCCCAGAATCCTTCCTTTCCTTCTCTTTCCATTTTTTTTCCTCTTCCCAAACCTATTTCTCCGATGAAAACGACGAACCGGGAAGGTCGGGGTCGGCGAGCTGCTACTTCTGCCGTCTGTTGCCGCCTGTGAGGACTCGGTCGCTGATGCTACATCCGTCAAACGGGAAGGACGAGGTGGAGGTCCCCCCGCGTTGACTGCTGATCGGTTGCTCGCCTGGGAGGAATGGAGGGTCGGCCGCCTCTACTTTCCTTCTCCCTTCTTTCTTCTGCCCGCTAGTCGATTAATAGGCTGAGGGAATAATGATTAGAAAGTGGGTTAGGTGGAGAGTGGGATGGAGAGTGGGTTAGGTGGAGTGGGGTGTGTACAGATGGGTGGGGTTTAATTCCCTTTTCCTCTTTTTTTTTTTTTAAATAATAATATTAAAGATGATGATGATATTTATATAAAATAATAATAATAATAATAATAATAATAATAATAATAACTATTAATGTTATTATTATTGCAGTTGCCATCATTCGTACGTAATCGTCGATCCAACTGTTCGGTCGACCCTGGACCCAAATGTCGGGGTGTAACAAATTCTTCATTAGTTTGACATGATCAAAGCTCGACGAGACGCAACGCTACTTCGAACCATTAAGGAAAAGTCCAAGATGGCAAAGGTGTACAATAGAAAAGTGAGACCTCGACCGCTAGAAAGAGACATGGTCCCGATGAGGAACTTTGAGCAAAAAGAAGGGCATGGAAAGCTAGCTTCCATACGGGAAGGACCATTCCTTGTAGGAAAGAAGATTGGCCCCGCAACATACGTGCTCAACACAATGGAAGGAATGCCAATAGCCAAGACCTGGAATGCTATCCATTTGAAGAAGTACTTCGCTGAATAGGGAATGAAAGAACGCAGAGACACGAAGCATTTTGTACGATCGTGACACCGATCCTAACCAACAATGTATCTTGTCTCCAATCTATTTCAAGTCAATTCAGCGCCTCTAAGCGATATGTTTAAAGAAAAATATGACAATTCAAATTGACCCAGAGCAATAAGCTTATAAGTGTCTTTGCGCTTTAAAACCGCCCCCAGGTGATAAGCTAAGAATTGTCACAATCCGAACCACCCAAGAAGCTTATAAGTGTCTTTACACTTTAAAACCCCCTAGGTGATACACTAAGAATTATCACATTCCAAACAGCCCCGGAGCACTAAGGTTACAATTGTCTTCACAATTTTAAACCGTCTCCGAGTGATAAGCTTAGAATTGTTCGCAACTCGAACCATCACAATTTGAACCGCCTACGGGTGATAAACTAGTGCACAATTTTGGCAATCAAAACTTCCACCGAGCAATATCTTGTGATTTCTCACAATTTAAAACGCCTCCGAGCAATGAAGCAATTTCAGTTGCCCCTTAGCAACCGCCTAGTTATATTGTGCGCTCAAAACGCAACCAATCTCGAAACGGCAAAGTAAAACATGGACAATTATGATAAACAAAAAGTATATTGTGTCATCATTACAATTGTTTTCACCTCCCTCGTGGAGCAATAAAATTACAACGACCACATGCTAACATTAAGCTGAACGCCATCAGCTGCGAGGGGTTGACCGACCTCCTCTCTAGCATTTCCTGCAGAAGGGGGAACAAGATTGCATGAGCATCCCAAACAACCACGGGGTACTCACGACAAAACCAGTAACGGATGGAGGCAACGGTGTCCCTCAACAACTTCTGATATTTTGCTTCATCTGCCTCCTTGAATTCGTCAGAATCAAGGAACGTTGCCTTGGTAGTTTCAGCCATGTTGAATAGCTCAGCATCGCGGTTATTCTCCATCAATGCCATATCACTCTTCATCTTGGAGACTTCATTGTTCAAACCTTTCTCCCACTCAGCTTCCTCTAGAGATTCCTTTTGGAAATGCTCAGTATCTTCCTTCGCCCGACTCAACTCTTCCCCTACAGCGGCGAGCTCCACCTCCTTCGTGGCATCACCGTCCTCGCTATCCTTCTTTATCTCCTTCTCCAACTCCCTCTTGAACCCCTCGCAACCCTCCTTCCGTTGATCCTCAAGCTTGAGTATCTTGGTATTGCGGTCATCCATGTCACTTTGAAGGCGGTCATTGTGCAACACCAATTGGTTTATACCAAATTGAATGTGCAAAAAACAAGTCAGGATTAGAGGAAATTCTTGAAAAATATTCTCACCGTTTAAATCACGCTTACCACAAACAAGCAATGCGCAGTAGCGCCCGCCAAATGCCTGGTGTCAAAGTTGAGGATAGGAGTGCCAGCAACCCGAGTGTAATCGTTGGGGATCGAAAATTCCTCGGAGATGGTATGTAGGGCGCGTTTAGCTGCATCATTATGCACAGTCGCATTGGGAGAAAATGACACCGTCGACGCCGACTCCGTCATCTTCTGCTTCTTCTTGTTCGTATAAGTAGATAGGGGAACTAAAGGATTCTTGTCGGCAAGGACCCCTTTCATTCTCGCTTGACTCCCAGAGTACCGCTTGTCATTCAGGGCCGCAGTTTCGAAGGACCACTTCCCAGTCCCATGACTGGAACCCACCTCAGTAAACTTGAGCACCCTTGTGCTCTATCTGAGTTGATGGAGGAGGGGCAGCGATGGCGACCGCAGAGGAGCCTGCACCTGGCTTCGGTGACCTTGACGCAGACACATACTGGCGAGTTACTACAAAAGTGACCTATAAGTAAAAGCATTAGAACTACTTAAAATTTTCTAAGGAAGAATTAACTAACCGTGAAAGCGCCGAACTATATCAGCGCATTATCATGGCCTTTAGGAGGAAGATGAAATTGAACGGTTGATGTTGCAACCGTCCCTTCGGGGTCGAGGTTGCGTTCGCTTTTGGAGTCGTCATCGATCTTACTTGGAGTGGATCGAACACTCTTTGGTAGGCTCTAACCTTAGCGTCGAAACCAACACTTGGTCTGTGATTAAGAGATATGGGTTCGGGAGTACGGTTACGTGTGGGGAAGTGAAATCACACCCCACAACGCCCAAAGTTGAGGCTCAACCTCTCGTTCTCTCTTCTCTCCTCTCTCGTTCTCTCTAGACAAAACACGACTAGAAAAAGGAAGACAAACGCTACTCTCCTCCTCTCGCGTTCACTCTCCCTTTGGAAAGCGAAAGAAAATAATGAAGAAGACCCGATTTGGGTCTCTCTCTCCTAACGGCGAAAAAGAGGGAACACGGCACCCTTTCATCCTTTTCTTCGTCGCATCCCTCATCTTTTTTTATTTTCTTCCGTCGATTTTTTTCGTCTGGAGTCGTGACGACGATGAGGGTTTCATTAAATAGTAAAGCTGAATGCATTTCATGTTTTGGAAAGGGTTTCCTTAATTGATTTTATATTCTGAAGAATCTTTGTTGTGTGTTTTAGTTTCGGTATTTGGGGACTTGGTCAAGGGGACGAGAGGGCGGCGAGCCATGCCACTGGCAACAATAACTCTAGCACCGATTTGGTCTTTCGGTGTGTTTTTCCTCTATTTTTCTCGATTTTCCTAGTTTTGGTTTTAGTTAATTCGACTAGGGTTTATTCATTTCTAATCTTTGAATCTGGTGGGAGGGATTTTGATCTGGGTTTTTTGTTTGGTTTTGGTGTTCTGGTTGTTGAGGGGAGAAGGTGGGAGGAGGAGGTGAGCAGCTGGCCTCACTACCGACAACGCAGCTAGCCCCAGCGATGCAGGGCAGACCCAAATCACGCCAATCACTCTCTAAGTGAGTTTTGATTTAGGTTTTTTATTTGGATTCAGGCTCTCTGTCAATTATGAACTTATTTCTTATCTTGAATGCAAGCATACACCTAGTACCACTAAGTGAGTTTCGATTAGCTGGTTTCTAAGTAGTCCAGGGTTAGTTTGGTATTGGTAGGTTAATGAGGTCTTAAGATTTGAGTTCGAACTCCCTATTGGGATTATCTATCCATTTTTACATTAGTCTGGAAATTACTTGCTTTGTTAGATTCTAAAACTTAAATGATTTTGGAATAACCAAAATGATTTTGGAATAACCAAAAACAATAGCCACTGCTAATGATTTCGGATTGATAAAGACAGTTTTGTTGTGTGTTTGGGATTGGAACTTAAGAGTATAGTATCGACAATGATTTGGAAGGACAATTAGGAGGCTTTTGTCAAGTTTTTTAATTGAAAGACACCGTCACAACGACTGCTATGACTAAACCTAAAATTTAGATCTTAATTGAGCTTGCCATAACTGGTTTCTAATGATGTTTGGTTTACTATGAGCCAAATTTTTTATATTATCTTCTAAGTGATTGGAGACACTAAAGAAACTGTTATCTTGGTGGTTTAATAAACTAGAAATCATTTCTAATGACTTATGTATGACATTGATCAGAACATTCACTAGTAGATACAACTCATGTATAGTAGGGAGCAGATACTACTCATGTATGGTAAAGAGCATGAAAGAAAAGGAGGGAGGGATCAGATCTGATTTCCTTTTAACTTAGATCCGTTAACATAATATACGTAGATACTCTTTAATAGATCTGCTAGTATGAGTTAGTTTCGTATGAGAAGAGTTAGTGGCAGCAAGATTAGAGATCTATGACACAATCATATATATATATATATATATATATATATGTATGTATGTATGTATGCAATGAAGACATTGATTTCAGGTCTACCATGAAAATTCATTTATAATTTCAACTATGTTTATTAAGATTAGATGGATGATTATCCTCATAAATGATGAAATATATGATGTGTTTTGATTTTCTGCTTGTTGCTTGTTGTCTCTTTGCTGCTTGTCTTGTTCTTGAGCCTCTTTTGCTATTCCTCTATTCTGCCCTTTCTCTTATCAGAAACAGACTCCAAAATCACTCACCTCAGGTCTCTCCCTTTCTTTTGCCTGTAACCAACCTCCTTATCCCTCTCTTTGTCTCTTTTTCCCAAAATGGCTGAACCTCCCCTTCTCTTTTTCGGTTGGGAAGCTTTTTATGCAATGTTTCGCTACTATTAACTTTGG